GGCTCAATCGGCTTGTATATTCAGTATAATAAAAACCGATTAATCAATAGAGCCGATGAGCCGATACGCATCTCTAGCTACCATTAGTTATAGAGGAGAAAGAGTAAGCCCAATACCTAACTTATTTTATCCTCTAAGTAAATTTGTTTAATGCAAAACTTTATTTTTAAATTAAAAAATTTGAGTTATTATATATATGCAAAAATATTATTCCTAATCCTAAACTTTTTTAGTTATGGTAGTATAGTATTAGAACCTATCAGGAATGGTATATGAATCGATTTTTTTCCCACCCTACGTATCAGAAACGGTATTTTTGCTATATATAGGTTGAAAACCATTATTTTTTCATAGCAATTTCCTGATTTTTTACATATATGGAATCTTTGCCATGAAAATCACTACGACATTTTCCGATCGGGCTAATTCGTTTATGATTCAATAGTTTATTGAATTAGCCCGATCGGAAAATGTCGTAAGGTGATTTTCATGGCAAAGACCTCATATATATAAAATTTATTATTATAACCAGTGTTGTCACTGAAGGTCACTGGAAGTAAAACCAGTGACACTATTGATTTTACTTCCAGTGACCTTCCAGTGGTCTTTCCAGTAACAACACTCCATGGTGATTTAATAAAATTAAATAACTTTGCTTAGAAATCAATGTATAGTTTTTATAATAAATTATTTTTTAAATATTAAAATTAACGTTAATTTTATTTTGTCTTTAATTATACCAAATCTAGTAATCTGATTAACTATACATATAACTAGGTAATGCGTATTACCCCGGAACAATGATGGGTTTGGAACAGTTGAAACAAATTTGAAACGATTTAAATTTATTAATAATTCAATTATTTATATAATCAGTTTTATATAATTAACCAAAAATATTTGAAAAATTTATTATACATATATATCTTGTTTTTAAAAGTTAAAATATTACGTATAATAACGTTGATACTGTTCTGGGCAAGATAGCAATAGTTAAATTTATATATAATAATACCTGATATTAAAAAAATCAAAAAATATATAATAAATAAATATATATATGTATATACAACGAAATTATTATATATATTTTTTTGATTCTTAATAAAAAGAAAGAAAGAAAGAAATTAAATAAATAAATTAAATAAATAAAGATAGATTGGTATATCTCCTATCTACTATCTTCTACTATTTTTTTTTATTGTTATAACCAAGAGAAAAATCACACATCTACATCTATCAGCTTATAATATAACTCATGGTAAATACAAGCACCAATTAATCCATATAAAACATAAATTCATAAATCCACAAGTTATAAATCTATTTTTAAAGGATGAGAAAGTTAGGTAGCATAAATAAGGAGAAAAAAAAAATTTTTTTCTATGGAATTTCACTAATCAAAGCTTGTAAAAGTTGACCTTGATCAAATTTTACATCAGCCAATTTAGTTTTTCCATCCAATAAAGAACCAAGAAAGAAAAATCTGATAGTAAACTTTTTTTGATCGATTTTTTGATTCGCACATAATTTTATCTTTAAAGTATCAATAGTATCTATTTTAGGATTAACATTAATTTGTACATCTTCAGCAGAAGTGGATAACCTTATTATAACAGGAAGTTGTTCAGTAGCAGATGGATCTAATAATAGATCGGAATTTGTTTCATCACCATGATCTGAAGTACCTTCTTCATAATCACGAATAAGGTTTGTAGGATCAACAAGGCAGTATGCAGGAATTACATATCTGTTTCCAAGTTCATCGTAGCAACCATCAACCAAATTACCGGTTGGTATTGTTATTTTAGCAGCGTTAAGTATTAGTTGAGCATATTCCAAATCATCAGATTCGCAAGCATGACGTAGGGCATCCCAAATTACTTTATAACCCTATATATAGTGTATATATATAGTATATGTACAGTATATATATATATAGTATATAGGCAATGGTTATAAAAAATGGATTAATGGATAATTGATGGAATTAAAAATGAATAATATGAATAATATGAATAATTATGAACAATTGATAGAATTGATGGTTTTTTAAAGACAATACCTCATAACTAGGAGCCGTTTCCCAAAACGCGTCACGTTGTTTTTTTAATTGACCTATAGTTATAGAAGTCTCAGAAGTCCATGTGACACCTTTCTTAGAAAATGGTTTGTTACCTAAAACAAATGAAAACAAATGAAAAAGGAAAGATGTTAAAAAAAAGAATATCGATACGTAAAAATATACTAAATTATTAAATACACATTGAAGGAAAGAAAAGACAAACCTCCCCTTGGGATAAATATTTCAGTATTTTCATCATGTTCAAAAGAATCTTCATCAGTTGTTCTTGATGAACAACAACCCATTCTCAAAGAAAAAAAAAAAAAAAAAAAAAAAAAAAAAAAAAGAAAATCTGATTGGAAAAAATCAAGACTAAAAACAACAGGAATAAATCAAGCGAAGATTGAAAAAATGAGAAAAAGAAATTACCTAATGTTTAAAAATAAAAATATTTAACATGATGGTTTTTTTGTTGGTAATTACAAATAATAAGAAATCGGGTATTTTTTTTTAATAAAAGAATCATACAATTTTTTTTTTTTTTCAAATACTTAACCGACTAGGTCAATTAATAAAGGAAAAC